AAGATATATGAAATCAGATCCATTAAATTCTAAGATTTGATTTACATTTCTAATTAAAATTGTTTTTGATCATACGTATAGATAATTATATAAAAATTCCAAAATTCTAAAATTTCAAATACATACAAAAACAATCATATGTAAATTTTAAATTTGTGAATATTAAAATTTTATATTTTAATTACATATATTCATCCTGCGCAAGGCGCAGATCTTATCCTAGTATACAATATCTTATGTGCATCAACTTGTTGTATATCTTAATTCAAAATTCCTCTCAATCTCATTATGTAAGACATACATATGTAGATACTATTGATTTTTTTGTCTGTTTAAATAGAAATGGAATCAAGTTCACCTCCAAGAAAAAACAAAAGTTTTTTTTTTCATTTTTCTTATGGCTATATCACTTTTTACTCCATGACAATGTTGTAAAAGTTAACAAGTTTGACATATATTAGGTTTGCTCAACAAATCTCCACTCACACAACACATTCGGATCAAAATGAATCAAGACGTGTATTTTTTTTAAAAAATAGCTGGAAAGAAACGTAAGTGGAATAAGTTAAGGTTAAGAAGCAACGTTTAAATAATGCTCCTCTGACTCATCAGCTGAGGTAGGAGGAGAGGGCGGTGGAGGACCAGTTTCATGATCTGTCTCAATCGTAAAATCGATGCAACTCAAGTCTTCTTCATCATATCTCCTCTGCCTTCTTCCTCTGGATGCTTTCCTCTCATGCACATTGTACACTGCCCACTCTTCCATCACCCGCTTTTATGTACCAAAAATAAACACATTAGTCCAAAGAGTGTTTCTTTCTTATTATAGTAGAGAAGTAGTGGTGTATGTACCGTACCTCCTTTGATGCAAATCCGTAAAGGGAATACTCTGTCATGCTCCATCCGGTTTTGTTGCAATTATTAGAAAATGGTTTGTTTGTTTCATAGAAAGAAAGTGTTCTTCTAATCCCAACTGTTCTACCATAAGCAATGATTTTTGTCTCTTTCCCAATTGTTTTCCAATAACCATCACCAGATGAAATCTTGATTCTATGCTCATTACGTGAGACTTCTCTACTCATCTTGCGAAAAAAGTATCTCTGCTTCTCCTTTTCATCCCCTGAAAAAAAGAACCCTTTCATTTTTAGCGTTAGACCCAAATCTCAGAAAATGATACAGAGCAAACAACTCTTCTAACCCACTTAAAGAAAAAGATAGACATGCACACACACACATATATAGGCCATATAAGAAATAATAGAGAAAGAGACCTGGAAAAGTAAGAGGATGAGAAGAAAAGACGTCAAAGACAGGGATGATGGAGGAAGGCAAAGGAGAAGCACATGCTTTTGGGAGCATGTAATGAAAGATAAGCTCCTGGTCCGTTGGATGGAATCTGTATCCAATTGGTAGTTTCATGCCTCCATTCACCATTGTCTTCTTCTCCACCTCCATATATTGTCTCTTCTTCCAATACTGTTTCTCTAAAGAGAGAAAGCACGAAGAGGGAGAGATAGAGATAGAGAGAGAAGGAAGACTCGTGTAGCGTTTTGTTTGTGGGCTTTGCAGGCTAAATGACAGTAGGAGAGGTTCTTTATATATGTATATTATCCTACTAGTAAACAACTAAACACACACATATATATATATTTGTTATATAGTTTGTGTAATATAAATGGCAGAAGAAGTGGCTTCTTTGTCAGAACATTTATTTAGTTTCATAATAAGAAGTTGATGAGAATGAGTAGGGAAAAAGGAAGGTGCTTATGAGGGATCTTCATTGACTTCTAAATAAAAATACAGAAGAAAATGTCATTTATCTTCCTTTTTAAAAAAACATGATGAAAGGAAGAGAGAAACGTGCAAGTTTGGGATTCCTCCATTTCTTCTTTTTGGACCCTTTCACTTCTTACCATTTGATCATCCTCTGTTTTACAATCCAACTAATACTTTGATATTCAACCAAAAGTATTTGTATGAGTAAATAACCGGTCATGCGATTTCGGGGTCTTACACGATTTTTTAGAAATTTCAGTAAATACTTTTTTCTAACTAATTTGGGGGTCTAGATTTTTTCTTATATACATATAAGTTTTCAGAGATTAAGGCGAATATTTTAATAAGCTTGGCCGAGGACCGACCCTGCAGAAGATATGGGACTATGAGACACAACACTGCCTCTACTTGTTCCCCCTGATGGTTTAGTTAATTGAAGTAAGTCAGGCTAGACTTTAATATGGACTAAAAAGAAAATAGTAAGGCTTAGTAGGCCTAATTATTCGATGAGCTTACTATGGGCCTTTCTTTTTCATATATTTCTCTCTACAAATTGTTTCTGTTAACCAATTATATTTCTCTGTATGCCACCAATTACCTTCCTTTTAATAATAAAAACATGGGTTATCAAGAAATAAAGCATGGTTTATGCATGCACGTATAGAGTTGTGTGAGGAAGGTGCGTGCGCATATACTCCCACGTTACCCCCTTCATTCATCAAATCATTTTTCATAAATGCACAATATCATAACTTTCTTATTTTCAAACACTGAATTATATCATAACTTTCATTTGAATGTTTTAATATTCCGGCTGATAAGATATATATTATACATAAACATTTTTTTGAAAAGAACATTTATTACGAGGTTTAAAATAGTATATACACGGTATTGGTTTTAGAAGGAAAGAAAAAGTCAACGGTCGACCACCAAAGAAAAAAAAAACAAGGCTCTCCTACTTCTTCGATATAGCCATTGCGACCATCTCCACATCACCTCTCTAACCACACAAACCACAAATCCTAAAGTCTAAACGAAAACAAAAAAAATACACATGAATCTCTCCTTCCTCACCATCACCATCACCATTTTCAAAGCTTTACGTTAGATAACAAGATTCCATGGAGAAGAATGATGACAAGGACCCTGATCACAACGACCAATCCAAGGGAGAGGAGAAAGGCGACGTCGTTTCAAATACTCATCCCCCAGATGAGTCTGATGGTAAAGAGAATGTAGATGTTGGCAATGCAGAGACAGAACAAGATCCAGGAGACAATGTTGATTCACAAGGAGAAGAGATTCAACAAACACTCGAGTCCTTGTCTGAAGAACTGGATCAGCTTCTCTCCAGTCTCTCCCTTCACAAGGAAGAACATAAAGACGACACCGAGGAGAAAGGAGAGGCTGATGCTGATTACTTTCAGATCCCACAGTTTGTTGGCAAGTTCTTGGATCTTCTTGAGGACAAACTCTCCAAATACGACTCTGGTGACCCAAAGACAGTATGGTACCAAGATCAAGAAGAAGTGTCTTCTCTTCTTGAAGCAGTGGATCGTGTCTCAAAGCTTATGGGACTTTTACTCAACACCAAATCTTGTCTTGACCATCATGAGCCCTTGATCAACCATGCTGGATCCATCCAGCAACGTGCAATGGCCTTCTTGGAAGACGAGTTCCGTCTCCTTCTAGAAGAGTCCGTGATTAAAGAGACTACATTGGCCACAGACGATCAGCAAGACCACCAGAACGATGCGGTGGTCTCTCAAGATCAGGACCAGGTGACCGTTCAAGAATCTGGTGATCAAGAGATTGAATACCCTGGCTACTCGGAGGAAATGGTTGTCTTGCTGAGGAAAATAGCAGAGAAGATGAAAGCAGGAGGGTACGGTTGGGAATGCAGAGAGGTTTACTTGGTTGGGAGGAGAAACATTTTGATGAGGACGTTGAAACATGACTGCGAGTTTGAGAAAGTGAGCATAGACGAGGTGCAGAAGATGAGCTGGGGAGAGCTGGAGAGAGAGATACCTATCTGGACCAAGACTTTTAAAGACTGCTCTTCACGCTTCTTCCCTGGTGAGCTCAAACTAGCAGAGAAGATCTTCCCAGGAGATGATGGGAGCTTGTTCTGTATCATCACTCACGGTCTCACCATCCAGTTCCTAGGTTTCGCTGAGGCCGTGGCTATGACTAAGCGTTCCACTGAGAAGCTCTTCAAGATTCTTGACATCTATGAGACTCTTAGAGATAGTTTTCCATCCATGGAGGAGCTCTTCCCTGAGGATCTCCGCAGCGAGCTGAGGAATGAAGTGACCAGCGCTCGTTCCCGCTTAGGAGAGACAGCTATTCACATCTTCTCGGATTTGGAAAACTCTATCAAATCAGATTCCAGCAAGACTCCAGTACCGGGAGGAGCAGTGCATCCTTTGACAAGGTACACCATGAATTACCTCAAGTACTCATGTGAATACAAAGACACATTAGAACAAGTGTTTAAAAGCCACTCAAAGATGGAGCAAGAGGAAGAAGGTACGAACTCTAGTGCCTGCTCGGCCTTCGCGAGTCAGCTGATGAGGATAATGGACTTACTAGACGGGAACATGGAAGCAAAGTCAAAGCTATACAAAGACATACCACTGAGCTGTATCTTCATGATGAACAACGGGAGATACATAGTGCAGAAGATCAAAGGCTCGGCTGAGATACACGAGGTGATGGGAGACACATGGTGCAGGAAGAGGTCTTCGGAGTTAAGGAACTATCACAAAAGCTACCAGAGAGAGACGTGGGGGAAGCTGCTTGGTTTCTTAGGACATGAGGGACTTATGCATAATGGTAAGATAGTGAAGCCTAATCTTAAGGAGAGGTTTAAGAGCTTTAATGCAACTTTTGATGAGATACATAAGACGCAGACTACATGGGTGATTAATGATGAGCAGCTGCAGAGTGAGCTGAGAGTTTCTATAACTGCGGTTATGATACCTGCTTACAGGGCTTTTATGGCTAGGTTTGGACAGTACTTGGATCCTGGTCGCCAGACAGAGAAGTATGTTAAGTACCAGCCTGAGGATATTGAGGATCTTATTGATGAGCTCTTCGAGGGCAACACTTCTTCCTCTTCAGCAGCCACAGCTAAGCGAAGAACATAGATCATTTCTTTCTTTTTTTGTTTTGCAGTAACACTTTTTTTTTAAAGTTCCTTAAATTTTTCAAGTCTTCTTCTTCTGCTGGTTTTGTCTGAAATGCTACAACTTGGATACCCATCTTTCTACAAATTTAAACAAAAGATCGTGGCTCTGTGCCATGTGTAAATGTTAAATCATAATCAGTTCCATCATTCATGAATAAAAAATCGATTGATCTTTATTGAATGCTAGCATAATGGTAAGTTATGTGAACTCGATGCAAGATTCAAACTCACCTTTTATTAACTTAGCAAACGTCAAAATAGATAAGAGACTTTTAGAACTTACTATCCATTTAGGTCTGCTTGGCTCTCAGGCAGCAAATCTGTATTCCAAGCCCATCAACACTGTCCTAATCTCCATCTCCAGCTTTCTAGGATCTATTTCTCTCCCTCCCTCTCTTTGCCGTCTTCATATCTCCATCACACTTCCTTTTTGATTTGCTGACAGGCTTGTCTCAGTCACTTTTGCTACCTGCAATACAAATTTTTTTTACTACCTTCCACCTCAAAATTCACTATCTTCTACCATTGTTCCAGGGAAAATATTCTTCAGTTCCACAAAGTTCCTAGTCCAAAGTTATCAACTCTCAGGAGTAGGCCCGGCCCGGAAGAAAAAAAAATTTGGTCTATTAATTAAACATATGGAACTATTATACCTCAAACCTGACACACTTAACACAACAAATCCAGCATTAAACCAACTACGCTACTAAAAAAATTGACAATATGAAAACCAAAAAATTTGATAATCTAATCAGAGCCGAAAGCACGTACTTGTATTGCATATACCCAGGGCCACTACTAAGCCTCACTAAACATTTTTCTGCACAGCGTGGAAGGCGAGAAGCTCTTGAATAACGGCGAATTTCGTGTCAAGGGCCAAACCTACCAAAAAGCCCATTATTTTAAACAGGCTTTTATCTGGCCCATTAACTGAAGAACATTTCCGAATAAGTCAGTTTTGTTTGGCTTCAAGCGCATATATATCCCCAAACCCGCATTAAATCCCTCATTTTCTCTCTCTCCACTCCACGGCCAACATCGTCTCCAAATTCGAAATCAATAATAATGGAGGAAAGTTTCAGAGTAAGAATCGACAAAGTATTCGGACCTCTTTCATCCTCAACCGCCGCCTCGTCTTCATCGTCTCTCAGCTCTCTATGGTGTCTCGCTGACGACGAGATCGATACAAACGAACGTGTCAAAGAGAAAGTAGTAGTTTCTGAGCCCCAACCTAGCTTCACGGAGAATGATCCGGAAGATTTAAACGGCGACGTAGACGAAGAAGAACGCTCCACTGTATTGCAGAAGCCGGATGATTTCAACGACGAGGAGTGGGAGATCAAATCCTCAATAGGGATGGATACTACTCTTGACATGGAGGTTTTATCTCTTATTTTGTTATCTAAATCGTATTCCATTTTCACTAAACTATGCTAAGGGTTTTTTAATTTTTTTTTGAGAAATTGTTAGAAATACTATAAATTAAGTACCATTTTTTCAAAAATACCACTGATAGAAAAATATACTAACATTTGGATTTATGCTTTAGTAATTATTGTTTAGGGTTTATAAATGTTTTGTAAATATTTTAAAAAGAAATTGTTAGAAATACCATAAATTAAGTATCATTTTTTCAAAAATACCACTGATAAAAAAAATATGTAACATTTGGATTTATGCTTTAGTGATTATTGTTTAGAGTTTATAAATGTTCTTTAAATATTTTTAAAAATTAGCTTAGTGTTATTTTGTCACAAAATTAGGGTATTTGTGAAAAAATAATCATTTATTAATGGTAAATTTGAAAAGTGGTACTAAATTTATGGTAGAATTGAAAATTTTCCATTTTTGTTAGGAAGAGGAAGATGAGAATGACAAAGTGGCTGTAGGAGAGGAACAGTGCGTTTACACGAAGGATGTGAATGACTATGTAACGGAAGCAGATGAGTGGGAGGAGCTTCCTTCTTCTTTCAATGAAAGAGAGAAGGATCCTCGTGCTAATTACATCGCGGCGGAGATTAGGCTTAAAGAAGACGCTGATGCTGTTAACAAGCTAAACTCTTTGCACGTCTCTGAGGTACTGTCTTGTGAACAAAACTCTTCCTTTTTTTTGGTATTAACTCAACAAGTTTTTTGATATCTTGTTCTTCGTAATGATTCACTGTCTTGTGGTACATCAGGATAATATGTCTGATGAGGAGGCACATGTTGTTGGCGGTTCAGATGATAATGGGTTGAAACCGATATTGAAGAGGAAAGAAAGCCAAGCTGACGCTAAGTTGCAGAAGCGTGTTCGGTTTAGTTCTGATGTTAAAGATGACAATTCGACTGGAGATGACAAAGATTCTTTGATGGTGGCAAGTTCCCCCGAGGAGAGTGTATTGCAGCGATTCCATGCATCTGTAGTTCCGGATTATGTTCTAAACCCGTCAAAGTACACTCGATACACATTTGATGAAGGTGAGGTTGATGAAGAATCTAACAGGAAAGCGTACATGGAGTTTCTCAACATGATCAGGAGACGAGATGAGCCTCTTGAAGAGCCTATGGGTGAGCTTCCAACATCAGTGGCTTTTGTACCGAAGAAGAAACCGACGGGTGAAAGCAAAGTGGGAAATACAGATAAAGGTTATGAGGGAAGAAGAGGTGCAATAGCTATGGTAGATGCCATAGAAGACAGTACCGTTTCTGCCATGGAAGAAGATGAACCAGAGACAGCTCTAAATGTCGTAAGAAGACCCGGTCGTCAGTATAGGGCTAGAGCCAAGGAAGATGAAGAAGAATGAATGTTGAGTATCATCAAACTCGCCCTGCAAGTTTGGCGTGGTGTCTTTATTACTTGAATTTAAGCAGTCTGGCTGACAGAATCAAAATTACTGTATTGGGGACTTGATGATGCCTCTACTTTCGATTCAATAATGATTAAGTTGTGGGATAATATCAAGTTTTTATGTACTTCAACGGTGGCATCGTCAAAGCTCGTAGGTTAACTCAACAAGTTAGACTAATACAAGTTCTAAACCACCAGTGTATATTAATATTGTTGATCATACAAATTAGCCATAGTCGTAAGTCATCTCCTTCAACTGAGACATAATAATATGTTCAGACTTGTTTTTTTTTTATAAATTAAAAGAGCATGTTTAAGTGTGTCACCCACATATGACATATACGTTTTTCTAGTACTTGCGTGGTGGAGTGTCAGCTGCAGAAAGAACCACACGGATAAACTTAACATCTTAGTGAGAAACTCAGGAAAGACTGAACAAATAGTTTTGATTGGAGCAAAACAATCTTCTCCATGTCACCTATCTTCCCATCAAGGCCTTACATTTTCTCTAGGCCCACTAGCACTTAATTCTCATTTCCCCTAATTGTAAACTGTACATTTGTTTTACCAAAAGAAGAAAATAAAACAAAAATAGTTAAAAACTTTTGTAAGAAAAACGGAAAGATCGGTTAAGTTCGGTTCGGTTAATGTGGCAGAAACAAAATTAAGGGTAGAAAAGAAGCAGTAGTGGTCCATGGGGGAAGAGAAGCAGCAGCTACAACATAACAGAGTCCCCAAAAAAATCAATCTTTCGCCTTATCTTCCTCCCAAACAAATCTATCTCTTCTCTTCAGCCGTGCTCTCTCTCCAGGTATACTTCTTAGGGTTTTAATCAATCTCATCACTCTCTCTCTTCTCCAATTCATTGTACTTAAAGTTTCTTGCTTTATCGCATTCTGCTTACTCCTCTCCCTGATTGTGTATATCTTCTTACCTCAATCTTCGTTTTCTCGTTATGGGTTTTGTGTTAGATATACCAATCGATTGAATTTACCCCACCAAAATCGATCATCGAGACGCTCTCTTCTTATTCAGCCGTAAAGGTCAGTACTTTCGATTCTTGAACAATGTTCTCTGTTTTGGACTCTCTTGTTAGAATCCGCGTAAATTTCAATTCTTTGCAATCACGTGTTACAATTAAGTCACACATGGTTTCTCTGTGGACTTTTTTTTTTCAGAATGGCAGCTGATCAGGGGAGAAAGAGGATGAACAGTGCCAATGTTATTGGTTTCAGTTCTAGGGAGCATTACAGAGCCAAAAGGAAAAAGCTTGATGGTGCTTCGCGTTCAGGAGATCACATCACTCTTGAATGGGACCAAAGCAGCAGTAAAGTAGTCTCTAAGAAGGAACAAGTTGGTTTAAGTTTGAGGCATCTTCGTGAGTTTGTTGATTATGTTCCTCCTAGGCGGAGTCTCTTGGCTCAAGTATGTCCCGTCCCTGTCGAGACTTTCCAGCTGGAAAATCTGTCAGAAGTGCTTTCTAGTGAGGTAATACAGCGACAACGTCTGCTTTACACCTTTGTGATATTGAGTTTTCACCGTTTGTATCCACCAGGTGTGGCGGAGTTGTCTCTCTGATGGCGAAAGAAACTATCTGCAGCAGTTCCTCCCTGAGGGAGTTGATGTGGAGCAAGTTGTTCAGCAGTTGCTTGATGGGGAGAATTTTCATTTTGGAAATCCTTTTCTTGATTGGTTAGTGACACTGGGCTTTTTGGATCCCTAGAATGAACTCTTTGATTAGCACTAAACAATAATGTCGAGTTCCATGATCTGCCTTCATATCCTAATTAGCCTTTTATGTTGATGATGATGGTTAAGTATATATACTCAGGAATTTAGACTCTCCATTTAAATGTAAGTTGTGGTTTCAGGGGAACATCTGTCTGCTCTGGAAAAGCTCATCCAGATGAGATTGTTTTTCAGGAGGAATCTCTGAGGGCTAGTAAAAGGAGATATTACGCAGATCTAGAGAAATACCATAATGAGTATGTGCAGGTTTCTCTATTAAGATTATAAGAGCACTTGTAATATATTTCCACATGGTTGTAACTCTTGTTTCTATTTTTTTTCCGGTAGTATTATAGATTATTTGCAAATGCTGAAGGAGAAATGGGAAAGTTGCAAAGATCCAGAGAAGGAGGCTGTTAAGAAGATGTGGGGGTTAGTGCTATTGAATTGGTGTAATGTTAATCAATCAGATACATTGCAAAAAAATTGTAGCTTGGAGAAGAACATAGAGTCTAGTAACTATGATTCACCGATTGTCTGTTTCTAACATTGATTTCTTCAGGAGATCAAGAGAAGGCAATGCACGAATAAACGGTAGCTGCCAGGATTTAACTGCTGCCTCGGAGTCTAGTTCCTGGAATGAAGATGATAAACCATGCTATAGTGATAGGGCTGGAGAGGTTCGGAGAAGGTACTGAATGTACTCTTTCACAGTTATACACAATTGCTTCTTATTTTAAACCTGCATACTAAAGTTTCCAGTCCATTCTAGGCCTAAGAGTTCTGCTTTAGAGAAAGAAAAATCTCAAAGTCCCTTGATTGCCCAAGAGAATGTTGCAAACGTGGGCATGAAAGCTAGAAACAAGGATAAGTTACCAAAACATAGCATTCAGCAAACTGATGGTGCTAAATACATGTCCTACCTTAAGGTTAGTTATTCTTCTGCATTTAATATATTCAGATAAGCAAAGAAGCATTGAGATACGTTTAAACATTCAGATAAGTAGGAGAATGTTATTGATCAAGCATTTAAATATATATATTCAGATAAGCAAGAAGCAGTATCAGATTGTCACAAGCATGAAGCAGTCTGGTAAAAGCATTCAGTCGAAAGCACTTAATAGAATCTTGGGGAACATCAACAATTTAGATGTTCAACCTTATGGAGTGTTTGTGGAAGAAGAAGAGAAGAAACTGAACTCTCACTGGTCAGTTTTCGTTGTGAAACAAACTGCTTCCTTCATCAAGCCTTTAGTTCTGTTTTTATTTTATTTTTTATAAACGTTAGTTGTTTCATGCAGGCTGCAACTGGTTAAAGATCTTCCTGCATCATATGCAATATGGAAAAAGCTAAAGTTACAGAAACGAGATGTAATCAACTCTTTGGAAAGAGAACTGAAGGACAAACTCAATCCATGGGTGGAGGTTTGTTTTCTCCATAAACATGTACATTGTTTCTACATTCCAATGTTATTAACAACTTTCTTTGGTATAGGATAAACATCAACTGCACCCTGCAGAAGAACCTCTGGTGAAGCATGATGTTGAATTAGACTTGAGGAATTACGATGGAGGAAGTTTGGATCCAAATCAGAGTGGTGATTTAGCACCAGACGTTGAAGATTCGGGAAGTTTGGATCAAGTTTCTGCCAAGAATCAATCCCTTTCAAAGGAGTCATCATCTTCCAGTGACCAAATCACAGATTCAGGTCGCTGCTTGCAAGTCGGTGAACACTCCTCACAGGTTTCTTCACCAGATTGTGACAATAGCATCAATATGGAGGATTTTGAAGCAAATGATTATTCCAGCTCCATAAACCGCCAGTCTCTCCCACAGGCTCCATTTCCTAGTGAGCCCCACGCTTCAGATCTCGAAGATACAAACCCTGTAAGCAAAAACTATGTGCCAGAACTAGAGAACGCTTCATCAGACGAGAGGATTCCTAGTACTAGTCCAAGCCATGGAGATGAGTTGCAGTATTGTTCTGGTGGGGATGTGTGGCAGCCAGTGGGAGCTAGGCAGTCCTACGTTGGTCGCCAAGCTTACACCCCCAGTGGTGGGCTGTCAATCATACACCATCCTGAAGGTGGTGAAGAAGAGAAAAACTATTTCATAGGACCGGGCATGCCTGAAGAAGTTGATAGAAGGAAGATGTTGCAGCCGAGAGCAAACAACAGTTTCGGTTCTTTCCCTAACAACGATCAAAATGAACTGCTCCAGACTTTGTTTAAAGGCCAAGGCGTGGCATCTCGTACCTCTGAGCAGCTTCACTCTCTTCTTAAAGTCCCACATAACGAGGAGCATAAACAGATTATGCCCATTGGTTTTCAGCAGGATGGAAGCAACAATCTGATGGAGGGCAGTCAATTCTCTGGTCAGTTCCAGCATCAGATGACTGCGCCACAAGCACTGTCTCAGGACCAGCCAAGACAAGTTGACATCTATGGCCAAGGAAGCATGCAAGACAACATTTACTGCGATGGACGTGGATTCTTGATGCAGCGTCCGGATTGGAATCCCAGTGTTGCTCAGATTGGAGTGACCACACAGACCCCATTGAACAATGGCCATTTGTTTAATCCAAACTGGCAATTTAAGAGCATGTGGGCAAACACAAACGGTGTTGGATGTGCGAGCCAAAGCAGTCAGACCGGAAACGAGAGAGATCTGAACCTTCTCAGAGTTGCTACTAACCCTGAGCAGATGATACATAGGGGAAGTAGTTCAGATCAAAGCTTATTCTCTGTTCTCTCTCAGTGCAATCAGTTGCGCCGTTCTAGATCTGCTTTGGAGCCAGAAAGTTCGAGAGCTCATGTGGTTGCATCCGGTAACTATGAGATGCTCATGGGGGGAGGAACAAGTCAGGTAGGCAGCAATTTAGCTCAGCCTACGAATCCGCTTGAGTACTTAAGTGGTAGCAACTCGGCAACATCTTTGATGCCAGATGATGTAGTATGGATGAACCAGAGTCGCCAGAACAACTCTGGTCTCCAGGACCCACTTGGGAAGCTGTATCCAAGGTCATGGAATCCGTAACCATGTTTGTGAAGTTCTGCATTTGCTGAAAACGCACCTGGTCATCTTAAAGATTATACAAAACCCAACATGGGTTTCTTAGTTTTAAATTATTGATCTGTGCCTGTACATAGAAAGATACAGAGAACTCACAAAAAAAACTTTTGGTTTGTACATATTTAGATTTTGAGATATGGGCTAGGAATAAATGAGGATGCTCCAGCTACCTTTTCATTTGAATTATACGTCTTGTCTTCGCTTTCACTCTAGAGTTAGTGATTGTTTACCCACACACACAAAATAGGAAAAGAGAATCAGAACATATATGTGAAACATTTAACATTCCAATGGCTGATATGGAAATTGTAACTGTGAGCATCCATAAACCAAAATTTGTGCTTATAATGTATCTTAATACTTATAGGTAAACTGATTGCTCTTAACGACATGGCTAGAGAAGGAAAAGTCTAGGTCTTACGCCACTGGACTGGATCAAGTTTCTTGTCTCTGCTGAGTGCTGCCATTGGACTGGTTAGTTCTGCTACTTTAAAGCTAGAGCCTTAATTAGGCAACGGAAAATGTGATTTACCAAACTCAGCTTTCAATGTCAGTGAGCCTACAAAAACTGACATTTGAGTCATTGCTGCCATGCTTAGCACGGTCCTGGCATACTGCGTTAAAACATATTTCACGTAATCTGCACTCAATAAATCAGATCTTGGGATATGAAGATGGAGATACAGCAAAGAATGAATCCTGAATATGAACTCTATGCAAAAGGTAAGAAGTTTCCAATTTAAATTTGACGAGTTCGAGACCTTGTGGACTAATGAGATTACCGATGTGGGACTTAGTTTCATACATTAACATGGACTTATGACAATCATCAGTAAATTTAATATTGTAATAAAGAAGAGAGACTGTTACAAAAAACAAAAAAAATTGAAAGGACCCATTTCAGGAAGTCCACACATTTCACACAAAATGAATTCTTCCTTAATTATTGCATCACATATATTAATTTGAAAAGAAAAAAAAAACAAAAGACACGAAAACATATGAAGGTAGGTAGGCATATATCAAAGGGAGCGTTGTGTTCAAACAGGAACGCTATGCAAAACAACAGTCTCTACCGTAAGACCTGGTCCGAAACCAAACAAGACACCCCACTCCAACCCTTCTCCTGTCGTAGCCACACCATCTGCCACCGACTTCCTCCTCATCTCATCCAATATGAAGAGCACACACGCGCTCGACATGTTTCCATACTCGCTCAACACATGACGCGTGGCTCTCATCTTCTCCGCCTTGAGTCCAAGCTTCTTCTCAACGTCATCAAGTATCGCTGGACCACCAGGGTGAGCTATCCAAAACAGAGAGTTCCAGTCACTTATCCCTAACGGTTTAAACGCTTCGTCTAAACTCTTCTCAATGTTCTTAGAGATGAGTCCAGGGACGTCCTTGAGGAGATGGAAAGTGAGTCCCACTTCTCTCAAGTGTCCATCTATGGCACCGTCAGAGTCTGGTAAAATGGTCTGCGCAGCCGACACCATCTCAAAGATTGGTCTCTCTCCGACATTGATATCCGGGTCCGAACCGACAATGAGTGCGGCGGCTCCGTCGCTGAATAAAGCCTGTCCGACGAGGGAGTCAAGGTGTGTGTCGGAAGGACCACGGAAAGTGACGGCTGTGATCTCGGAGCAGACGACGAGAACACGTGCGCCACGGTTGTTTTCAGCGAGGTCCTTGGCGAGACGGAGGACAGTGCCGCCCGCGAAGCAACCTTGCTGGTACATCATGAGGCGTTTGACGGATGGGCGAAGACCGAGGAGCTTTGTGAGCTGGTAGTCAGCACCGGGCATGTCGACTCCTGAGGTTGTGCAGAAGACAACGTGTGTTATCTTTGACTTTGGTTGACCCCATTCTTTGATGGCCTTTGCTGCAGCTTCTTTGCCTAGCTTTGGGACTTCGACAACCACTATGTCTTGTCTAACGTCGAGAGATGGAGCCATGTAGGCGCACATGTTTGGATTCTCCTTTAGAAACTCTTCGGTCAAGTGCATGTGGCGTTTCCTTATCGTTGATTTGTCGCCTGTTATGGTAATAGTTGTTAACTAACTATTTATAATAGCATAATTATCCAGCGTTTTAAAAAAAAAAAAATAACTATGTTATAAAAGAAGAAATATATAAAGTAGGGTTTGTTAAAGTTAAAGACATACACATGCGTTTGAACTTCTCTTTAAGATCAGTCATGTGTTCACTGTTGGTGATGCGGAAGTAGTAGTCAGGATACTCAGCTTGGATCACATGGTTGGCAGGATTGGCTGTGCCTATCGCCAAGATACCTGCTGGACCATCAGCTCTTTGTGCCTTTCTGATCTCATTCAAGGAAGAAGGTGGTGTACCCATCACCATATTTAGCAAAAACTCGGTTTTTTAAGAGTTAGATGGGTGTGTGACTTTGTGTACTGAGCAAGTTATGTGTATGTATATTTAGAAAAACATGCAGGGAGTGAGAAGACTATATAAGAAGATGACAAAGGAGAAAAAGAGAGAAGGGGAGTGTGGTAGGTTAGATGGACGGGCAGATGAAGCACGACGTGTCTATGTGTTAGCTCCCTTTCCTGTGGTTCTTCTTGCTTCCCTTTTTATTTCGCTACTTACCAAAAGAAAATGAATGGTTGGTTTTATTGATTTACGTATATTCGGACCAACAAGTCATATTAATTTATATGTATTTTTTATTATATATATATTTTTGTGAATGAATGTAAAATTTTATTTAATCAAAATTTTTATACATTTAGTGCTTCTTTATATGCTGAAGAGCTCCAATAAATTTATTATATATTCGATCTATATTCGATCTATACATCAAAAGATATACGTTCAGCTAGTAGTCAGTTGTATATAATTCTTTACTTCCCACCCCCCTCACGTGCATACTTTTCTCCAACATTAGCTTCTACTCACCTAATTTTCTTCTTCATTTACCTTCTAATCCTATAACTACCTAATTAAATAACTGTTGGCATGTTACAAAAAAAAAAATAATAACTGTTGGCAAAAAATCTGACTAAATATTTAGTCTTACATTAGGTATGCCTCGTTTTTCGCCTTCCAAACAACGCAAGATGCATTAGTTTTATTTTGTTTATCTGTCACTGACTCACTGGTTATGCTATGACACCTTTGTTTAGAATTAACTGTTGTTTTATCGGCCACAGACATGATTAGCAACATGATTAGGTATTCATGTTTAAGATAATTTTATTGGAAAAAGAAATAACATCGACCCATAATCGAAGGTGGAGTGGACCCTAGAACTTGACTCGTGCTGCTGAGACCATATGGGTTATGGAACATATTATGGACGTGGGCTTCATTATAAGCTAGATATCACGAGAACCTGAGTGTATTTCCTCAATGGTAAGTACGCACTCCAGAGCGCTTGTTATAATCATTCGGACCAAACGCTCGTGCTTACCGAAATATAGTTGTGCCTGCTGAAACCAGGGTTGGCCAAAACGATGGTGTTTGAGCGTGTGTCGGCTTGCGGCATGTTTCGTGCTTACACACACATGTGTCTTAATCGTATACTTAGTCTTTAAGGTTTTGATGGTCTTGCTCTTGTTTGTTTTATAATTTTATAGTTATGTGATATAGATTTACGTCTTTATACAACTCTGATCTTCCTTTTATTATTAGATTTTGGTGATGATTCCCCACCAGGATATACCTTCTACGTAACATTTCATATTGATTACTAAAAGAGGAAGTTTTCCGAGATTATATAATCTCTGGATATGAATTTGAAGGTAGTCCCACTTGGTTACCCTTTTCATGGATTTTAATCAATTTCTTTTATGGGATTTTGTAGTTTGCCTTAATTTTTATTATAATAAGTTTATAAATGGCCGACAAACAAAAAGTATATAAATTGATGTCAAAAAAACAAAAAAAAAAACAAAAAGTATACAATTTTTTCTCAAAAAAAAAAAGGTATATAAGGGGGTGTTAGTGGGAATTAAATTTGTATAGAGTTTGTTGATTTAAAGAATTGAGAAAATTTTTAAATTTGGAAAGAGTTGTAGAGAATTTTGTATATTGTGAAAATCTATGAAAGTAAAATATTATAATGATTTTAAGAATCCAAGGGATATATGAAGTATTCTCAAAATCTTGTTATGTAAATTAAAATGTTAAAAATATAACTCCAAATAACACTTACTTTAATAGATTTGTAGAATCATTAAAATCTAAAAAATTTGAATAACAAGAGATTTTGTATATAATTACAAAATCATCAAACCAATAATACTAAATTTTAATGAAATTCTAAAAAACAATAAACCAATAACATTAGACTTGAAAATTCTAAAAATCCTTATGAATTTAATTCCCACTTACACCCCCTAAATGCATATCCGGAAAACACTGTAGGCTGTCTTAAGTACGTAGGCCTACAAAGCCCAACCCATGTGCAGTCCGTATTGTACTAGAATTAACAAGTGAATCGGTGGGCTTTAGAAATCAAGGCAGGCTTGTTAGTCAAGGATATACATTCTGCTGCTGTTGCGAGTTATTTTTTGTGTAGACGGTGAAGAACTTGGCGCCGGTGTCATAAACAGCTCAATAATAACATCATGAGTTCACTCAATCCACTAAGGCAACTTCATAAGAAAAATGGCCATCTCAGAAAATTCTTACTTGAAGCAGGGAAAGAGATGGTTTGTTATGAGGCTAAAACATTATAGAACTGGGAGCAAATAATAATGTTATTTAAGTGTAATCACTGGGTAAATTCATCTTCATTAACTCCTTAATTTCAACACTACACTACCGCGTCAGGATAACTTAACTTGTATGGATTAGTTGGATTAATTGATCGGTGGCTGCAAACCTCGTGCCCGTAAACTACTCACATACGTCACGTTTAGGTTTAGATTAACCCAAAAGCAGACACCCGTTGTTTTGTTAACTTTTTAGAATATTATTACATAATGCGCTCATCACATGGTCATTTGATTAAAGAGTAATTAGACTAAAACAAGACAAAACTTATTTGTGTTGCAAATAATTAGGAAAAGGATTAATTATGTTAAATGTCCAACAGAGTGCCTTTCCACGTTGGGCGCACATGCTTTCTCTTCCTTCTTTCTTTCTATTACCAAAACAAACACCATAATAGGCCCAAATCCACAGATAACTTGCCAAACTATTTACATCAAAGATAGTTCGACAAGAGTAAGAGAAATGCAACTGGTCTGGTCTATACATTTGAGACTGGAACCATTTAATAAAACGTCCTGCCAACTGATCTGCTAAAAATATGGAATAATATGCAAAGTGTTTATTTATGTTTATACTATGCTGATGAAATTACATACATTAATAGTCGAGAAAATGGCAGTGATCGACCAAAAAGAGCTTAGTTTACGCTTGATTTGATAGTATTCTTGACCAAAACTCTATATAGGGTTTGTAGAAATCTTTTGTCTACTACATTGTACATATTTATTGCATGTACTCGTATTCGAAAAGATAACTAGTAAAAGGATATATAGTGGATAAAATCACGAGACGATAGAGAATGGAGGAAGATTGATGTAAAATGAAAACAAGATTCAATGCATCGAAAGATTGGAATAAGATTAGTATAAACTAAACGAGAAAATTTAGAGTAGGTCAAAAGGGGGAACATAAAATTATAGGACTTGTTTTCTCCAATAAAATTAAGACTAGAGATGAAATGTGAAAAGCATAAAAGATTGCTCACATGCAACCCAAATTCCTTTGTCCTCAATAATGCATTTTTACAAACAAATTCGTTTTAGAATATATTATTAAAGCAAGATTTTGAATATAGTATTAATAAAACGAATTTGAATGGTATTTTGGTAAGAATATATATTGAGAAACTGAATTTAAGGAAGATGTTATACTATAATGGCCAAGCTGAGAAGCATAAATGATTAAGAAAAGAAATAAAAACGATGAGGAAATAGATAGATGCCTTGGGATACAATATGGAAGACGAACAAAGGGTGTGGCAGTATTCATTGAAATTGCAACCTATAAAACTGAGAGCACATGCATTACCCTATTTTGTATTTGTGGGTTTGATTATTCTCTAGTTTATTAACAGCCACTTTTGGTACACACGTTGTGATTATTGTACATATAGACTAATGGGGAGTAGATATTATATAAAATAGTAAGAAATATACGATCCATTACCACCGTCCCTAACGTTGGTCGAGTAGCCAAACATAAATGGTCTTTGGTCTTCTGACACAAAATAAGATCGTACTAGAAATTCTACTACTTGATTCCTTATCATAATAAGCTCTCTATGAGATTTCAACATACGTCGCCATTTGTGTAGGTCAAAAGTCAAAAAAATGGGTGGCTAGTTTTTGAAGATTAATACACGTATAATAGATGTTTACGCAGTTACTTCATTCTCATTATTTAGTCGACTACCTTCCATCATGCGGCCATCATTGCACTCTTTCTTTCCCAATTATTAGTACCAAACTCATTGCTTTTATGTATTGTATGATTGATAAGAACGAAATTGTTTATGTTTCATATATATGAAATTATCGCAGTTCATGAACATTCCATCGCTTAAATTTGGACCATCACATGCACTAGTATTTGGACTCGTTATACAATATATATTCTCCGAATTTTAATAGTTTATCTATTACGTAATTTCACTATAATTTGTTTTGTCAATTGGGTCATGAGAATCTAAGGTAACTTTCTAATCATGGGTCTTATAATTTCTCATCCTTTACTTTCAGCTTATTATTTTGTTGATGGAATGATGAGTATCGTGTATCTATCTATCTAGTTATATCTGGGATCTTAAGTATTTATTTTTGATGATTCGCTTCTTGTGATTTGTTTACTCTAGTTTCTTAAAAAAAACTATTGTGAATAGACTAAATCAGTCCGATCTAGGCATTAGATTTGAGCAGAATTATGTATGCAATTCACTAGTGTAGTACAACCTTTGACTCAACGAATGAAACATGCTACCAAGTGGAAAATAAATCATTGCTAGTTTTATATATATATATTTGATTGATTGATAATTGGTATATCATGGGCACAATTGACTCAACGCAGAGCTATTTTAATTAATGTTTCTACGAGAATAATGAATTTAAAAATTAGCAATTGGAGTTTGTTCAAAAAAAAAAAAAAAAAAAATTAGCAATTGAAAAGAGAGAGCAACAGGAAATTTGTAGCTCTTATATAAAGGGCTTGTGGAAGGGATATTTTTCGAAGACCAACACACATTTCTTTTCACTTTGTTGTTCTACTTTAACCAGAAAAAAGATTACAAAACATTTCTTTATCCTCATAGAGAAACAAGAAGGACGATGAACACAACATCGTCGAAGAGCAAGAAGAAGCAAGAAGAGGGAGGTACGAAATTTCTTGGAGTGAGAAGGAGGCCTTGGGGAAGATACGCAGCTGAGATTAGAGACCCAACAACCAAGGAGCGTCACTGGCTTGGCACGTTTGATACGGCCGAGGAAGCTGCATTGGCCTACGATAGAGCCGCCAGGTCCATGCGTGGCACTCGTGCCCGTACCAACTTCGTCTACTCAGATATGCCTCCATCATCCTCCGTCACCTCCATCATTTCTCCTGATGATCCTCCTCCACCTCCTCCCCCTCCTGCTGCTTCTCCTCCTCCTTGTTCTAACGATCCTGTCGATTACATGATGATGTTTAACCAATATTCATCAACAGATTCGCCAATGCTGCAGCCTCACTCTGATCAAGTGGACAGTAGTTACATGTTTGGTGGCTCATCTTCTTGTTATTCCAACAGCAGTAGTGAGTTGCCTCCTCTGCCAAGCGACTTGTCCAATTCTTGTTATAGTCAGCCACAATGGAGCGTTGATGACTACTCGACCGCTACATATTTCGAAGGTGACTACGTCCATAGTCCAATGTTCAGCACAATGCCACCGGTTTCTGACTCTTTCAACCACTTCGGCTCCTATAATTAACATATTTTCTCATCCATATTTAATTATTTTCTCATTTGTATTTTTTTTTTTGTGGATTTCATTATGTTTCGCCGTCCTTGATCTTTGTCTATGATCAAAGTGATTGTTTGTCTTATTTTTGAATAAATGAATTATTTACTCTTTTGTATCCTAGAGCATCCCCACCAGTGATACTGAGGTGGGGTTTGCCAGCTGTATCTTTTTTTTATTTTTTTTTTTATTTTTTTTTTATTTTTTTTTTATTTTTGGTTTACTTTTTAAAAAAAAAAAAAAAAAAAAAATTGACGAATCACGGCCCGCCACGTAGCGAACTCGTGACGAACCGGGTTCACCACGACGAACTCACGCGCGCCACGTTCGTCACTGTTTCCCTCGGTAAACGTGTGAACCCCCCCTTAAATCCCCTAATGGGGGTGCTCTTAACCAATGAAAAACAAAAGTCTCCTGTCCTTCACAAATTCTCACATACATATTCTGATATGGGCCTTTGAACTCAAAAGCCCATTCATGAGGATGCTTGATGAGCTATAGCATGTTTGGTTTCTTAGATTATTTGTAGGTTGACATGCTACATTTGTACCTTGTGTGGTGTCTCATATGCTTATGTGCTCTGAAATTGTTTCATATTTGATGGGTTCTGGTTACTTAATTACCTGTTTGTCGGTCGTCAAAAGATGGTATTAGGTTTGACTGGTGAACAATGTCTACCTGTCTCAAAAGCTGGTTACCGAACATAATTTTTTTAAAAACAAGTACATATATATATGTGGTTTCCCAAAGAGGAAATTAAGGTGGTGAAGAATATGAAGATGAAGTTCTTTTTCTTTTATGCCATTGCAGCTGCACTTCTAGTTGTAGCCAACTTTGGAATGATGCACACAAGAGGGCAAAGCGTTTCGTGCCTAAACCAGCTTGCTCCATGCCTAAATTACCTGAATGGAACCAAAGAAGTGCCTCAAGTTTGCTGTAACCCTCTCAAATCAGTGATAAAGAACAATCCAGAGTGCTTATGCCGTA